GAACACTTTCTTGAAATTTTAAAGAGGGATCATCTTATTTATGCTACCGTCGTTCTAAGAAAATAAGATGTAGACATGACAAACATCACATGCAAATCATAAAGTGACATGATATGGCCAATATCATCTTGCGCCTTTGATCTCCATCTTGAGGCACGACATGATCACCTTCGTCACCGGCATGACACCATGATCTCCATCATCGTGTCTTCATGAAGTTGTCTCGCCAACTATTACTTATACTACTATGGCTAACAATTTAGCAACAAAGTAAAGTAATTACATGGCATTATTCAATGACACGTAAGTCATACAATAAATTAAGACAACTCCTATGGCTCCTACCGGTTGTCATACTCATCGACATGCAAGTCGTGAATCCTATTACAAGAACATGATCAATCTCATACATCACATATCATTCATCACATTCTTTTTGGCCATATCACATCACATAGCATACCCTGCAAAAACAAGTTAGACGTCCTCTAATTGTTGTTGCATGTTTTACGTGGCTGCTATGGCTTTCTAGCAAGAACGTTTCTTACCTACGCAAAAGCCACAACGATGATATGCAAATTGCTATTTACCCATCATAAGGACCCTTTTCATCGAATCCGATCCGACTAAAGTGGGAGAGACTGTCACCCGCTAGCCACCTTATGCAACAAGTGCATGTCAGTCGGTGGAACCTGTCTCATGTAAGTGTACGTGTAAGGTCGGTCCGGGCCGCTTCATCCCACGATGCCGCCAAATCAAGATAAGACTAGTAACAGTAAGCATATTGAACAAACCAACGCCCACAACTACTTGTGTTCTACTTGTGCATAGAATCTATGCAATAGACCTAGCTCATGATGCCACTGTTGGGAAACGTAGCAGAAATTCAAAATTTTCTACGCATCACCAAGATCAATCTATGGAGATTCTAGCAACAAGAGAGGGAGGATGAGCATCTTCATACCTTTGAAGATCTCTAAGCGGAAGCGTTACAAGAACGCGGATGATGGAGTCGTACTCGCGGCGATTCAAATCGCGAAAGATCTGATCTAGCGCCGAACGGAAGGCGCCTCCGCGTTCAACACACGTACAACCCGGGGACGTCTCCTCGTTCTTGATCTAGCAAGGGAAGAGGAGAAGTTGAGGGAGAACTCCGACAGCACGACGGCGTGGTGGTGGTGGAGCTCGTGGTTCTCCAGCAGGGCTTCGCCAAGCACTATGGAGGAGGAGGAGATGTATGAGGATGGAAGGGCTGCACCAGGGGAAGGGTGTGGCTGCCCTCCCACCCCCTCACTATATATAGGGGGAAGGGGAGAGGGGGCCGTCCCCTCTAGATGGATCTAGAGGAGGGGCGGCGGCCAGGGGAAACCCTAGATGGGTTTGGGCGCCCCCACCCCCTAGGAAACTTGCTCCCCAAGCCGGGAGGGACGGCTGCCCTAGGAGTGGCGCCCCCACCTCTCCGGGGTACGTGAGATGGGGTGGGAGGGGCGCTCAGCCCCTTAGTGGGCTGATGTGCCCCCTCCTCTTGGCCCATAAGGCTCCCCAACGCTTGCGAGGGCCTCCGAAACCCCTTTCGGACACGCTGGTCATCACGTGGTACCCCGGGAACAATTCCGGACTCCAATACCCTTCGTCCAATATACCGATCTTAACCTCCGGACCATTCCGGAGCTCCTCGTCACATCCGGGATCTCATCCGGGACTCCGAACAACCTTCGGTAACCACATACTATTTCCCATAACAACTCTAGCGTCACCGAACCTTAAGTGTGTAGACCCTACGGCTTCAAGAACCATGTAGACATGACCGAGACACCTCTCCGGCCAATAACCAATAGCGGGATCTGGATACCCATATTGGCTCCCACATGTTCCACGATGATCTCATCGGATGAACCACGATGTCGGGGATTCAATCAATCCCATATACAATTCCCTTTGTCCATCGGTATGTTACTTGCCCGAGATTCGATCGTCGGTATCCCAATACCTCGTTCAATCTCGTTACTGGCAAGTCACTTTACTCGTTCCGTAATGCATGATCCCGTGACTAACTACTTAGTCACATTGAGCTCATTATGATGATGCATTACCTAGTGGGCCCAGAGATACCTCTCCGTCATAAGAGTGACAAATCCCAGTCTCGATTCGTGCCAACCCAACAGACACTTTCAGAGATACCTGTAGTGCACCTTTATAGCCACCCAGTTACGTTGTGACATTTGGTACACCCAAAACATCCCTACGGTATCCTGGAGTTTCACAATCTCATGGTCTAAGGAAACGATACTTGACATTAGAAAAGCTCTAGCAAAATGAACTACACGATCTTGTGCTATGCTTAGGATTGGGTCTTGTCCATCACATCATTCTCCTAATGATGTGATCCCGTTATCAATGACATCCAATGTCCATGGTCAGGAAACCATAACCATCTATTGATCAACGAGCTAGTCAACTAGAGGCTCACTAGGGACATGTTCTGGTCTATGTATTCACACATGTATTACGGTTTCCAGTTAATACAATTATAGCATGAACAATAGACAATTATCATGAACAAGGAAATAAAATAATAACCATTTTATTATTGCCTCTAGGGCATATTTCCAACACGTTGGGGATGCATGGTCTAGTGGAGGCCCTTGTCGGCTCGGCCGGCTCCGTGAGAGTGGTGGTTGTGCTGCTCCGGGTGAAAGCCTTGGCCAGTGTTTGCTGGCTGGCAGCGATGACACTTGTGGGCACTATTATCCTCCTTGGAGGCACCATGGGAGATATGTACATTCTCAACTCCCAGATCGAGATCTTCGGGCGAAATCCTAGATCCTAATGTAGTGTCGGGTAGCAGCAGTGCTTTTAGTGTCGTTTCCCCTCATTGGAGCACCGTCTTGAATATCTTGGTCCCTTTGGTACTGTTTTATGGATTGGACATGCACGGTATTGGGTTCGGTTGTCTGCGATGTGGGTGGCTAGGCTTTTGTGGCAATGATGGTGGGGTGAACGATGTCAGAGATGTGGCATTGGTTTGGATAGTCGGATCTTCTTCGGCGTGTCTGTGGGGTTGCATCGGCTGTTTGTTGTTGTGATGCGGAAGTTCCATTGCGGGGACCCCAGTGAAGTACGATGACATGCGATAAGTGGTCTGATCGGTGATGTCCTAACTTGCCTAGTTCTCCTTTGTAGTTCTTTATTAGAGTCAGAGCTGTGATGTATTGTTGTGAGTGGATGGTGATACACCAGAGAGTGTAGTGTTGTACCGCAGCCATTAGGGCTAGCGTTTCCTTTTCATTTTTCTTTGACCTTCAAGTCCTCACCATGTTATTCTTTCGTTGCTTCTTGCTAAATCTGAATCAAGCCAACAATTTGCTGGATCTTTCAAATAAAAAGAACCATACCGCGCAAACTACATCCAGGCAATTTTTAGAAGTTAACTTTATATGTTTCAACCAATCATACTTTTTTTTCTTAAGACAACTTCCACTCATGCAAATTGTCTGACGAAGAAAAATACCTTAATTCACACTGAATGATGCCACTTGATAATAGAACCTTTTTACCGGGAGGCAAAAAAACATGGTCATGCTACAATGTAACCCTAAAACATACAACATGTACCCACTGTGAGGTTTGAGTTGCATCATGATGAAGTACCACATATGTTTCACCTAGGTTCATCTAATACAGTATCACTTTGTTGTAAAAAAAGGTATTCAATTATTCTCCTTATATGAAATTTGATTAGGCGATGAACACTTGAGAACAATGAGTATATGTAAATTACCTACTCCTATCCCATGCTAAATAAATGTAACTACAAACTGAGTTATATGTATTAATAACATATAACTCTGATGGGAACTCCTACCGCATTTTAAGATCAAATATGAAACCGGGTTTGAGACGATCAAACAAGAAGCAACCAAGTATTGCAACAACAACCAGCAATCAGTACGACACCGTTCTAGAAAAAAATGAGAAGTAGCTAGGGAGAGTGGCGATTTGGTGCCCGGGCATGAACAGTACCATGATTTGAGAGGAAAAAAGTTCAAAAAATTTCAATTTTTTGTGGTGCAAGATGCACCTGTGCCTGAACTCCGCGCAAAATTTTGTGAACTTTGGACGTTCGAGGAGCTCGTGGCAAAAAAGAGAAACTGCGGATGTCTGAGAAACTTTTGAAAATCGCATTGTTCACACCTAATTTTGTCTTTTTTGTCATGAGCTCCTCGAGTGTCCAAACTTCACAAAATTTTGCACGGAGTTCACGCACAGGAGCATCTTGTTTCCACGGATTTGAAAAAGCATAATGTTTTGAAAAAACATGGATTTTAAAAGGGTTCATGGAATAAAAAAATGTTCAATTATTTGAAAATGATCACAACTTTGAAAAAAGTTCCTGAATTTGAAAAAGTTCACGCATTGTGTGGCTTTGAAAAATGTTTGTGGGTTTGAAAGAAGATTCCCAAAAATTTAAAAAGTTCATACATTTAAAAAATGATCCTGAATTTGAAAATGTTCATGTACACAAAAGAAAAAGGAAACAAAAATGGGAAATAAAAAACGACTAAAGAAAAATGAAAAAAATGAATAACAAAAAGAAAAGAGAAAGATAAATAAAAAGAAAGAACCAGAACAAAAACTTTCCCGAAAAAAACCCAGAGAGAAACCGGCCAAAACCATAGGACTCTTCTAAAAGGTTCCAAAACCGATGGGAAAAAGAATTATATGAGTTGCCTTCTACCTTAAGCACCAAAGAGAAAGGTGTGTACCTTATTCCGTCCCAAGGTTGGCACGTGGTTAGGCCGAGAACACGAGAGACCGCCCTTGGTTTTCTCAACAGAAAGAAAAAGTAGGCCCCTTGATAGTCTTCCTCATCAATCAACAATTAAAAAGGTCGATGGCATGCATCCCCTAATACGCCTCTATTATTGGCCTCTCAATTCACTGGACACTGACAATTACTGTTTTCAGTTTCCAACTCCCCACTCCCAGAGCTATCGTCGATGGACGATGTGGCGCCGTCGGCCATGGACTGGTCGTTGCTGCCCCTTGATGCGCTATCCTTGATCTTTGTCAGGCTCGGCGCCGTCGACATCCTCATGGGCGCCGGCCTCGTGTGTCACTCCTGGCTCGTGGCGGCGAAGTTGCCGGAGGTGTGGCGATCTGTCGACATGGACAAACACGAGGTTGTGCTCCGAAAGGGCGATGCTGTCCTGCGTCAGATGGCGAAGGCAGCCGTCGACCGTTCTGACGGACAGCTCAGGGAGTTTGCAGGGAGGTTGTTTGTCACCGATGAGCTCATCAAGTATATCGTGGAAAGGTATTATTCTTCCATTACTACTTGATTTATTATGCTCAAAATTTTGTTAACTTATTAAAGATGTGTCAGCAAAAAATTTCACTTAGGTAATTAATATCTTTTGCTTAACCCAACAAAAAATTGGATTGTTTTTTCATAAATTAGATTCAGTTTTTTTAGCAAGAACAGTAGGGAGTCCCTACTGTAACTCTCGTTCATTAATATTTGTGGGACATGTACAAATGGCTATACATTAGGTATAGAATGTTACAAATGGTTCACAAATAGTCTTCTTGGACATTGCATCATTTCCTTTAAGCTAGCTTGGCCTTCTTGATGATTGTATCAAAGTGAGATTTGAAGCATCATATGTATTTTTCCAATATTTTGATCTTGTTGTCAAAATAAATACTACTCATGTGCTTCCAAATACTCCAATAGCCAGCAAAGAGGAATTCTTCGAAACAGTGAATTGAGTATCTCCCTTTCCCTTCCATTAGTATCTCTACAATATCATAGTTAGTGTTCCATTCAAAACCTAGAGCAAGCCAAAAACATTGGCTGAAATCACAATTGAAGAAGAGATAAGGTGCTCATTAGGCTCATCATCACACAAAACACAATTATTGGTTTCAATGTGGAAGTTATTTCTTATCAAAATATCTATGGTATTTAACCTGTCCTATAATAGTAGCCAAAAGAAAAATTCCCATTTAGGAAGACTGCATGATTTCCATATCCATTGGAAAGGCTTTGGAGCATTAGGTAGATTTCCAATAAGTTCCAGATATATTATATTGTTGGAATATTTATTGCTATGCAAATAGAACTGCCAAGTGTCTTTGCTATTGTTGCTAATCATTCCATTTAAAAGATTCCACATATTGTGTTCTGTTGGACAACAATGGATGAGATTGGTAGGTGAAGCATATCATAGAAGTCATCAACAACATAGTTGTATGCAATGGCACATGATGTCTATGTCTTTGGCATATGAGAACAACTATGGGAATCTTTCCTGAAGAGTCTCATCCTTCCACTTACCAATCCAGAGTTTGACTGTGTTTCTAGAAGTAGGTTTACACATGCTCGTGTTTTTGAAATCCTCTAATATAGAACTACGGTCTCTCCACCAAAAATATCTAACTCTAGTGGGATAGCTAGGCACCTCACCATCATTATGATGTGTATTCCAAATCAAACTCAACCCAAGGTATACCATGCTGGTTGAAAAACTTGTATAAGAATTTGGTGAGCAGAGCTCTGTTTTGTGTTCCGAGATCAAGAACACACAGGCCACCAACCTTTTTGGGAGGACATATACTTTCCCATTTTACCAGACAATTTCCATGCTTACTAATTCCTTCTCCATACCAAATAAAACTTTTGCCAACTTTTTGAAAGTGGTATATAGAATTGTTAAAGTTACTCTAATGCAACACATGACAAAGATGGGGAGGGAAGGAATCACTGCTTTTAGATGTACAAACATACCAGAGTATGATATCTTTGAAGCAATCCCGGATAGTACTTTCTCAAGTCTAGATATGATACACATAAGATCATCCACTTTAGGCCTAGTAGAACCCATAGGGAGTTGAAGACAGATGAAAGGCATAACTTCTTTCTTACAACCAAGAATGTTAGCACAAACATATCTCTTTCATGAGATATATTAATTGGGACCAATGAGGACTTGTTGTAGTTGACTTTTAAACCAGTAAATTCTAGGAAAATCTTTAGAACATTCATTAGATGTGATAGTTAAGATGGGGGAAACTAAGATAACAATTTTAGAATTGTATGAGGTAGGAGACACTAAGTATGGTAATAAGGGAAGGAACTACCTATTCCGACCAAGGAGAATATACCATTCTACAAGTTGATTCAAAAATTGCGGAAGCTTGGTTTGACCAAGCCGTTGAGTATTGAAAACAATGCTATAACGCTTACTACGAAGGACCTTGAATTTGAATAATACTACACTCCTTCCTTTTCATTGAATGGGTGGTTTGGTTACTGATCCATTAATCAAATAATTAGGTCATAAGATTGAGTTAGATATTTCCTTATATCCATTTGTTATACCCTCTATTTTATATGGTATTTCATAGAATAAACCAGACATGACTTAGAATAGAAGTAATAAAGTGAATAAAAAGAGGGGGGGGGGGCTAAATATTGCTAATATAGCAGGACCATAAATTCCACTTCACACCATCATCCCCACATTAAGTCATATGAAAATATTGCCCTAGTGTTTGTAGGTCACCCTCACTAACTACCCTTCGGCTTGTATCATGCTTCGGGGTCTTCAGCAAACAACTCGCCAATGTTATAAAAGAGTCACCTCTGCTAGAGCTGCATTCCCTTGAACTTGAAAACATTGACCTCACTGTGAGAAAATTGACCGCTGTCCTTGAGAGCTGCCCTGTCCTGGAAGTTCTTGGCTTGTAGTATTGTTTCTTGATTGGCTCCAATGATGAGCATGCCTTGTGGGAGGAATTCACCAGGATCAAGATCACGACGCTCAAGTGGGATGACGAGTGCCGCGACTAGTAATATTATGAGAGCCCCGACAATGACCATGCTCTTGACTCTGAAGATGAGAGGACATATTATTCGGTGTGACATGAGAATATTGTGATCTTTATGATTGGTATACCTTATTCAGCATGGATCCTTATGTTTGTGATAGTGATTCGTGAATTTATGTGGGGCTTACTTTACCAATTCTGGCTTGTACTCCCCTTTCAATTTTTTAATACCTTTTGAAAGGATCGATATGGTTGACTAGAGGGGGGGGGGTGAATAGGCAACTAACAATTTTTAGACTTTTCTTTAACAATTTAAACCTTGCAATGAAATAGGTTGTCTAGATGTGCAACTACGTGGACAACCTATATGATGCAAAGACAACTAGCACACTAGCAAGTAATAGATACAACACAAGTAAGCTTGCAAAAGTAGAGGCACAAGATAACCAAGAGTGGAGCCGATGGAGACGAGGATGTGTTACCGAAGTTCCTTCCTTTTAAAGGGAAGTACGTCTCCGTTAAAGCGGTGTGGAGACACAATGCTCCCCAAGAAGCCACTAGGGCCACCGTAATCTCCTCACGCCCTCACACAATGCGAGATGTCGTGATTCCACTATTGGTGCCCTTGAAGGCGGCGACCGAACCTTTACAAACAAGATTGGGGCTATCTCCACAACACTTGGAGGCTCCCAAAAACACCATGAAGCTTCACCACAATGGAGTATGGCTTCGAGGTGACCTCAACCGTCTAGGGTGCTCAACACCCAAGAGTAACAAGATCAGCTAGGGATAAGTGGGGGGAATCAAATTTCTCTTGGTGGAAGTGTAGATCTAGGCCTTCTCAACCAATCCCGAGCAAATCAACAAGTTTGATTGGCTAGGGAGAGAGATCAGGCGAAAATGGAGCTTGGAACAACAATGGAGCTTTGGGGGAAAGAGGTAGGTTAACTTTGGGGAAGAAGACACCTTTATATAGCGGGGGAACCAATCCAACTGTTATCCCATTGAGCAGCCCCACACAGATCGGTACTACCGCTTGGGCAGGGCGGTGCTACCGCTCTTACCCAGCGGTACTGCCGCGCTGACAGGGTCCTGACCCCAGGGCGGTACTACCGTGGGGGTAGGCACGGTACTACCGCTTGGAGCGGTACTACCGCCACTACTTCCGCACTTAGTACCGCAAAACCCGACACGAAAAACATCATTCTCGAATCGAGGCGGCAGTAGCCCGGAACCACTGCGGTACTACGGCCGAAGACCACAAGCGGTACTACCGCTCTGGGAGCGGTACTACCGCTGGGGTGCTTCGGCGGTACTACCGCTGTGGACCGCGGTAAGCGGTACTACCGCTCTGGGAGCGGTACTACCGCTGGGGTGCTTCGGCGGTACTACCGCTGTGGACCGCGGTACTACCGCTGGGGCAGGACAAAGCATACTCAGGGGAAAAAGGCAGCTCCAATGAAGCGGAAGGAAAACGACGGTTGTGAAATGGATGTGTACGTGTTGATTCCACCCTAGCCTTACCAAAGCGGATCCCCTCTTGATAGTACGGTGACAACTACGAAACTAGTCCACCAACAACGAAACGAAGGAGCTACACCGTCTTGAATAAAACACCGAGGGGAGATAATTGTCTCGTGCCAAAGGATGAATCTCTGAAAGAACTTAACACACACGATTAGTCCGCACAAGCATTGTCATCAATCACCAAAACATCTTGGGGATAAATATGCCCTTACAATCTCCCCCTTTTTGGTGGATTGATGACAATACGGGATTTGCACAATATGAGAGATATAGAACAAGCGCAAAAACCCCAACGTCCTAAAATGTAGATGAGCTCCCCCTAGATGTGTGCTATCTAGATAAGTGCTTTGGACTGCACGGCACACATACTAGGATCAACGCTCCCCCTACATTTTAGAGACCAACCACCTAAGCGGGGTAAATGAGAGTAGCAAAGATAACTTAACAGGATAAGCATGCAACTCATACGCTAGATGGTGACATAGATAATGATACTGGAAAGATAAGGTAGCATATGTCTCACACCATATGGCTGGTACTTAGGTCTCACTGACACAAACCAAACAAAGCAAATAGCGAGGAAAACACAAACACAGAAGATGGAAGACACAAAGCACAAATCCCTAAACTCTCTCCCACTTTGGCATCGAGACACCAAAAAGGAGAGGGAGTGTTGCTACGGCTCCAGGTGATAGCAAAGGAAGGACACACACATCAGAGCTCAGCGGGATCATCTGCGCCACCATCGTCAGTCTGGAAGTGCTCGGCATCAGAATCGGTCCACGGGCAGTGCTGCTGAATCCACTCCTCCTCCTCGGTAAGCTGGTCCTCAGATCCACTGATAACTGTAGTACCCAACTGACGCATGAGCTCCTTGTGGCCACCTCGGGCCTTCTTCTCAGCCACATGAGTCATGTACTGACCATGAGACTCCATGCAGAACAACTTCTTCATCTTGTGCTTGAGCTTCTTTGCCCAAGAG